TTCCTCCTCATATCCATCGCGGGTAAACTTGAGTTCTTCCTCCAGCTCGATGATCCTAGTCTTCGCCTTCTTCAGGTCCATCATGTCAGCGCACATCTGGTTCTCCTGACGTCGAATGTGCTGGTTTAACTCCTGGATGAAAGCTGCAATGGATTTATCCTTCTAGGTGCTGATCACTTCCCATTGCTCGTCTTGGCGCCCACATATTTGGTAGATAGTGTCCTTAAGCTCCCTTAAACTTCTCCAATGCGTCCCATGGTGATGTGAGCTGCCATGCTCTTGCCTAGACTCCAGGTTGGTGCTTCAAAGGAAAACTCTATGGGTTTAGAAGTTGGCGAGAACGTCCTTCCTGGAACTTGTACTTGAATCATCCAGCGCTCTTCTTCTGGTAAAGTGGTGTTGTACGTCCCGGTGAAGCTTGGTATTCCAATGTTCAAGTACCTAGTGACTTCCTTCAAGTGGCGTCCAAAAGGTGTGTCTTCATCCGGTTGTGCAAACTTGTTCTTCATCTCCGTCATCCTAAAGAGTAGAAAATGGAGAGGACTCAGAAATGAGAAGAGAAGTGTGACCTAGTGTTTATCTTAGTGGTCGTGCCCTATACTCAGTGTGTGCTCTGATACCATCTTGTAGCGACCCGACCTCAGATGGTCAAGTCTCTGTGCTTCAGTGTCATCCCTGAATCAATAATGCTGACACACATAGTACTCGAGGATTTATAACAGAGTAGCAATCACACACTTATTACAATAATATGGCTTAAGGCCATCTAATGCGATGACAGCGGAAGGCTTGGAAGATAAGGTGAGTCTATCAACTCCAACGGCATAGCTGAGCTGCACGGCCACGACCTGACGAACCTTACTCCTCGTCTGAAAAGTCCGCAACATAATACGTTGCAGCCCGAAAACGGGTCAGCACATGGAATATGCTGGCAAAGTAACACAGTAGAGTAAGAACAAAATAATACTATCACTATATGCATATATGGCTGGTGGAAAGCTCTATGGTTATAGTTTTGCGAAAAGTCAATTTTTCCCTACAACAAAGGAATAGATTTTAATTTTTACTATCATGGTTGAAACATCATTGAGAAGGTAACCCCAACTCAATCCCAATTAAAGTGATTAACAACCCAACAATATTAATTAAACATGGTGAGATACATGTGATAACCCAAGTACTAGATACTCAAGAATTGTCCATAACCGGAGACACGGCTAACCATGATTAGATTGTACACTCTGTAGAGGTTTGCACACTTTTCCCCACAAGACTCGATCGCCTCCGTTGGATTCCTCGCACTACATGGTGTTTGAGAAACTGATGACCGAGACACAGTCTTTCAGAAACGTTAACTCTCCACTCCGGGTAGACCATACCAAACCTACAAAACCCACTACCTGCTGATCTACCTCTTCAAGAGCTTCACGTAACTTACTCAACTATGCTAGAGCCCATAATAGCTTGTGGCTGCACACGGAAGTTTCTAGCATGAATCATCTCAGTTCCCTTTGAGCCTGGGTGGCGGTCCATAGGAAGATCACACGGGTACCCTGGGATTTCCAAAAAAAATACAGACAACACTGGGTTCCCCAGGTGCCTCAATCCACCCGGTTGTTTGATTAAGTTGCCACCTTAAGTTGAACCATTAATTAACAATCTCACATCTGACATGAATTTCACTCAAACCCAAACCACGTCTACGAGCATAGCATAGCAATATAAGCAATACATAGAAGTAACTCCCAAGGGTTTGAATATAACAGGGCAATAGGTTCTACCTCAGCAACTACTTCCCAACCCACAAGTTAATGACATCCTAATCATGCAATGTTTGAGGATTGGAACTAATGCATAAAAACTGGGTAATAATGGGATATGATCAAAGTGTTACTTGCCTTGCTGACGATCCGCAAATCCCAGAGACTCGTAGTAACACGCTTCGCACTCCGGGAATTCTATCGCAAGCAGACAATAACATACATAAATAACAAGCAACGAAACACAAGCAAAACTCAAATAAGAGAGGTTGACCAGAAAGTTCAACTTAAGAACTCCGATACGCAAAAAGAATCAAATCAAATGAAGCAACGAAACTCAGACGGCGAAAGAAAGAAGCTTCGTTTACTAATCTGAAACTAGGTCAAATTTTACAGTAGAGAAAACTTATTTGAGTTGGTTAAACAGAAAGAGGGTTTCGAGACAAAACTTCAGGCGCTTGAATCGCCTGATTCCGATAAACAAGCGAAAAGATAAAGAGAATCTAAGATCGGATCAGAAATCGCGATCAGAGAAAATCACGGAATAAATCCGATAAAAGAAAACTCACGAACAGACTAACGAACGAGCGTTCGTTAGTTGTAACTAACGGGCGAGGAACCGTTCGTTAAAACGAACGTTCGGACGAACGTCCGCTAACTAGAAGAACCGAAAAAACCGGCGAATCCGAAAAAACCCAGATCTAGGGTTTCTAAAAAAACCAAACGGTCTTTATAAAAAACCGGCGGCGGGGCGCGGCGGCTACCTCTGGCGATAGGTCCGGGGAGGCGAGGCAGCGGCG